GTTCATTTTACTTTGTAATTCACCTTAACTGATCCTGTGTGTGAACCAAAACCCCTGAGACAAGAAATGTGTGCAAAAGATATAAACCTGTGAAATGGTGGGACAAATAGTTTCTCCTCCTCTAGAAAAATGAAATACCAACTACTTGGGAAAAGAATCCATGTGCCAAATCTGTAAATATGCTCTACCTCTTTTTATGCTGCTGCTATAATTAATGTAAGAACCTTTAAAATTCCTATCTGATACTTACACTTGTTATAGCAACATATTTAGTTCCAGAGCTACACCCTTTAGCAGATTCTTTTACTTCATTCAAATTACTAATCTTTTAGATTCTCCCTGAAAGTCTTTCCTCCCTCACTCCCCATGCATGCTTAACCTAATTAACTATAAATGAGAAAAAATGCTATTCACATAAAAAGAAAATGTTAACCTATAAATTATCCAGTGCTCCCTCCCGAGGCTGGCAACGCCTCTCGCTGAAAAGCTCAAATGTTGGTGCAGTATTCTTGGCTTCCTATCCAGTTTCTGCCACCCAAAATCATTTTATACAACACATTACTCTGCCATTTTGTACATCTGGCAACATTTAGTGATACTAAGTCCTCTCCCGTGTTTTCAAGATTACACGAAGGAGGATTTCTAGGATGATTAATTGGAGAGAGAAAATCATCCCTTTATATTTCAAGGAACATTTGCAGAAGACTAATGGTCACTTATGGAAATATGGCCTCTTTATACCCATTAATGTCTTCCAGTGCTCCCCGTGGGTCACACAATTAACCACCCCTTTGTGTTTCTTTGCTGCCATCATCCAAAATCCTCTTAGTTGTTGTCATCCGTCGAAAATCTTCTGCTTTGCCATGGCCAGATCAAAAGCACACTCAGGTTTGTGGGTCTGGAGCCATCTAAGAGACTTGCTTTATACATTTCTCCTCAAAATACATTTTTCTCCAGAGTTTCTCAACTGCATTTTGCCAAATTTGATCCTGACAACCATTTCCAAATGTATTTCTAAATCCAAATAAAAAGTAGAGAGAGACAGTCCTTCATTTTCTAATTCTATTCCCATGCTTTTGTGATTTTATTCATCCCACTCTCCAGTGGTGATGGAAAGGGCTTTGCTGTGCCTGGCACAATATAATTCTGATCCAGAGCTAGAGCTCCAGAGCACTGTTGTACCTTATGGCTATTGTCACTAGTGTTACCATTATTTGGAATTATAACAGTTCCAATGACACCTGACACAACAGATGCCTGTCCAGGGAACCTGTGCCCAGGTACCAGGTCACATCTTGGGCACCACCAGGGATGCTGGGCCCAACTGAAGGCTGGCACTAGGCTCATATGAGGGAAATGAGCTTCCCATCACATTTTCTGTAGCTCCCTGCTCCTGTTCTGCCTCCCTGCCACTGCAGGGCTCTGGGTCAGTGTCCAATTTAAATAGGCCCTGATAGCCCAGGGATGGTGTCACACAATGTGTTGCCCACTTTTTTCCCTTTGAGAGCAGACTGACCTGGCAACAGCCTCTTGCCAGACATTTGTGTGCCCCTGTTTTGGAGCTGCCATCTCACCAGCTCTTGGTTTTATTTGCCAACAACCTCTCCAGAGATGCAGAGGATTTACAGCTGGCAGCCAACACCAGGGATGGGGATCTGCTGACAGCTGGGCTTTGTTACAGCTTCCTTTGCCACCCCTGTAACCTCTTCCAGGTATTTTATGAAGTGCAAAATATCAACACTGGGGTTTTTCGCCCTTGATATCAAAAAACACAAATAAAAGCTAGAAGAAAATGAGAGAGAAAAAGGAGAAATGAGGGCAACACTGATAAAACCAGAGAGAAATGCTAGATCAAAACACTGTAGGTTAAAAAAGAGACAAATGGCTTATCTGTTCATTCCCAATTCCCTGAAATTGTCTCCATTTTGATGGTGCTTGATCACAAGCTGAGAAGAAACGGGCCTTCCAGCTGTGAGGAGACAGCCTCACACCAGAACAGGAAAGAGAAGCATAACCTACTTGCCATTCCTGAATACAGTAAAAGACAATCTCAGGAACAAACTGCTGGCATTTTGCTTTAGCTTCCTGCACAGCAAAATCAAGCCAGATTTAATGAGTGTGTGTGCTTTACATGGAGCAGGAAGCACTGTCACCATTACATAAATTAGCTGAATTTTTTATACGAACACAATTCTGCTAAAATATTCTTATTAAAGGTGCATGTAAAATTCAGGAGAATGTAAAGCCATCTAATCTCTTTTTACTTAACCACTGCTTCAGGGTGATTTACAGCAGTTTAGCAGAGAATTACAAAAACCATCCATGTACATTCAGTCATATTTTTACCCCGATTTTCCTGCATGCTGTTTTCTGTGGTCACTCCAAAGACTGAACCAGCACCACAGCACCTTGCAGACAGACCCCCACCACACCTATCCCCCCTGCTCTCTCCCCACAGCTTCACCACCCTTAACACCTGAATTTTGTGTCCCTGAGCTCCTCTGGTGCCACACCCATTCCCTGTCTCCCATTTCCCATCAGAGGCTGAGCCCATTCCTCTAAGCCTCTGCAGGGAACAGCAGCCACTCCTGCCTTTCCCACAAACCCCTCATTCCAGTGCCTGCACAAACCCCATTGCTTCCTTTCCTCTTCACTGCCAGGAATCCCTTCCATCAATGGGTTTGCAGCACTACAATTGCTAAGGATTTTAGTTAATTGGTACTAATTACAGTTAAGAGTAACTGGAGGCTGATTCACAGGGGGGAGGGAGGGCTGAAGGGAAAGAAATATAATTCAGTATGCTTTCAACTCTGTACACACACTTAGCTGAGCAGGGTTAATAAGAGCATCAGCCTGGTTCCTGAGCACACAAGAGGTAAATAGAGGCCATTTTTCATGTTTTATTCTGCAGGCACAGTTCCACCATGGCCCCTTTTACAAGTGAGGTAAATGAGTCATAGAAAAAGCAAGTAGCTTGACCAAGGCCTTGCAGAAAGACATTGGCAACACAGAGAGAGCACTGCAGGAACTACTTTCCAGCCCACTTGGTCCTCATGGGAATAAAATCTTGCTTTATTTTTATTATCATTATCCCTGAGTAGTAGCCAGGATCGGAAATTTTAGGCTAAGCTGTGGCACAGCTGCACAACTGAATTTGAATTAATTAATCTTTAATCTCTGATTAGGTAAACACAGCAAGAAAAACATCTGAGGGAGTGAAAACTTCTATCAGGAGTGAAATTATTACTTGAGAGGCCAACATCCTGCATCAGTTTACTGTGGCATTCACATTGTCTGAAAAATCCCTTTGCCCAGGATTTTTCTCCTGGGAAGCTGAGAAGCCTCAGAGAAAAAACATGGGCAAAGGGATTTTTCAGAGAATGTGAATGCCACAGTTTACAACTGATAAGATTCAATATGCAGTTGTGGAAAAATATTAGAAAATCTATTAGGAGACACTTAAGTCAATATTGTGTTCCAACCTTTAAAATCCAAGCTGTGCCTTAAGATTGTAACTATCTTTTTGCTCCAGAACAAAACAAAAAAAATAAATAAATAAAAATTGAAAGGCACAACTATTAGGCAAGGATAAAGGTTGAGTCATAAGCAAATGTCATGTTATAGATTTACCTACCAACAGGAAGGCAGCAGGGTTCAGGTCAGAGGTTAATGAAAGACATCCAAAGGACATTTGGCGATTATGTGAGAGCATGAGTTTAATAGGGCACGGGGACGACAGACACTGACAGAAGATTTATTCCAGAGGTGATGACACCGCTCCGAATAGTGCTGATAAAAAGAGCCCCAATATGGGCCTGAACAGGATGATGAATGGTGCACAGGGCTGCTCACACTTCTCATTATAAGCTCCTTCACTCATGGTGGCACTTAGCAGCGTTTATTTACTGGGGTTTGATGGTACTGAGCAGAAGCACAGTATATCTAATACTTTAAATGTAGGCTTGCCATATAAAAATGAAACAAGAGATAAGATTAGACCATTGAATAATTGCCCAGCTTTCCTGCAGAGATTATATTCACCAGTGCTAACATTATTTTTTTCCTAATGTTCTAGTGTAGGAACAGCTCAAGTGAATTAATTTTCTAAGGCAGAAGGTCAAAGGAAAGTAACTGATAAGCGTTGTGCCTGCTATAGAATATCACTTTACAATATTCTGGCCTCCTCATTTATCAGATAGAGAGGAAGAGATAATATAATAAAGGTATATAAACATATTTTTTGTCACGATGAATTTAGTTTTAGTTGTCCCAAGCGCTATTTTTCCTTGTGGCTCTTAGTAGGAAGAGGATCAGAGAAGTCAGCCAAAAATGTCAAAATAAAACAAAAAAAAACCACACAAAAAACCAACAACAAAGCTTAGGACCAAACCCAAGGAAAACTGAGACCTGATAAATAACATGCACTGCACCAAGAAACTCCTTTTCAGACTGTTATATATTTATCAAAGCACTGGAGTGTGAATTTATGAATAAGTCTTATCATCTTTCAGGCAGCAGGCACAATAAAAATTAGAAGCACAGAAAATTGTGGGTATTACGAGAGGTTATTTCTATCAGCTCATGTGTATCTGCAGATGGGAATGTCACAGAAGGAATCCTGTTCATCTCTGCACTCACACCTTCACCCAGAGACAGAGCAGCACTGCAGGATGTCAGAGTTCACATTCAGCTGCACATGCAGCCACATAAATAAACTCTAGATAAATAAATAACTAAATAAAATCTAAATAAATAAATAACTCAACCAAGAGGTCTTGTGAAGAGTGTATGCAATTTTAAGAGGTGGAGAGCTTCTGAGCATCCAGTATCAGCTCTGTCCAAGATGGTTCATTTAATTACTTCTTCTGTACTGCCATCATTGTTCCTCCCAATGCATCTCTATTTTATACCATATCCGTCTCATAGAGCCTGAATATGTGATAAACAGGAAAAAACAACCCTACCTGCATTTCAGAAAGAAAGAATTATCTCCTGGTTACCTTGAAAATCACACACAGTGGGTATCTAATACCTGAAGGGCATCTGAAGGTCCAGAGATCCCCCAGGATAAGGGGCTCCAGAAAAGCAGATGTATGTCAGGCAAAAGTTGCTGAAGTGTCACATCTAGTTAATGGAGAGAGAGATTACAGTCACTTACACCTCTGCTTGACTAGGAAGAGTGAAAAAAGAAAAAGAAATGTAAATAATACCTTATCCCTGTGCAGCACATGAGACCAGCGCACTGTGTGAGCCAAAAGGGAACATGAGAGGTGCTGGCTTTGTACCAGGCTCTGCAATGTGGTACAAACTCCAACCTGAGAGGAAGAAATGTCTTTTGTTACCAATCCAGGTATTCCACCAACTCACACCCCTGACACAAGTCACAGACTGGAATTTCTCAGTCATCTCTTTCAACTATGCCCAGAGCAGATGGACATATATATATACTTTTGTGCTTTTAAAGGGCCTCCCTCAGTTTTCCAATTTCTCCAATTACTGCAGAATAATTTACCAAAAATACATGTAACCAACATTTCTCAATAGCAGGTTGTTTATAATCTTCAACATCTGGGTACCTTTTTTTTAATCACTAAAAATGCACAGAAATTTTTCCACAAGGTCATTAAAATACAATGTGTGTGTGCAAGGTACATTCAGATACATGAAAACTGATGAAAAGGCAGGGGGCAGAATGGTTTTCCTTTAAAGCTCTCTAGTCATCAGTGACACTCTGTCATTCAGCATGTTTTATTGTCCACCTGAACCAAATGAATAGAACAATCCAAGGGAAGCCACAGTGTTTCTGGGCAGACAGTGTATTTGTTAGTGAGGCAGACAATAAAATGTTAGTAAAGCATCTGAAGTGGCACTACACCAAACGAACATGAGATTTCTTATTTATGAATAAGAAAAAAACCCCTTGAATGACAGGCATTATTTATTATGCAGAAAAAGAGAAAGCCAGGATGACTGAAATGCTGCCTACAGAGCAAACAGAAAATGTATCAGTTTTCCAGCACAGCCACATGAGACCAAGTTTCATTTGAAGATATAAGATGTAACATCACTGCTAGTTCTGAAGTTAAGATCACTTTTTCTGAAGCAGCAGAAATGGCAAAACATTACTCATTTTGGCCCATGTTCTGGTTACAAGCATGTAAAACTACTTTTAAAGCCTCTAATAATATATAGCTAAAATCTCAATAACTGGAATAAAACATGATCTTTATTCTGCTGCACCAGAAATGCTGGAAAATGAGGTAAGAGTCCAGAAATTGTATACACAGCTTACTCTCAAAAAGAGTGGTGCATGAAATTCCCCTTTTAAAAATAATACATTTGGCAACTGACACATGGCTTTGAATGTATTTGGAATGGACCTTCATAAGACTCTAAGGATGCATATTGGAGAAGCTGGTGCTCTTACCCAAAGTAATTATGTTATCTGGAGTCCAGCATCTGCCCTGCAAATCTAAACTCAAAATAAACTAAAATTATCAAATATTCTAATCTGCCATTAGATCAAATCTCCAGAAGAACTGGTTTCTAATTGTAGGTATATGCATGTATATATGTGTATCTGTATGGACAATATTTTTAGTTTACCACTCTGTGAATTTAATTAATTTAGTTCTTGAAAAAGCTTTTTTCCAAGAAAGGCCAGAAAAGAAAGTACTGTGACAACAGCCATAAATCCCCAGCAGAAGATCAGCAGGGTAAATAGCACAGGGCACAAGCTGTATTTAAAGTGTTTGTGTTCCCTTTGAGCATGTGTGTTTATCTTTATGCAAGTCCTGGCCTGCTCAGAGTACTTCAATTCCTGGGTAATGGAAAGACCATCAGAAACCTGAATCTCATCATCTTGTTTCATAAATGAATCACTCGAGCAAAAAGAAGAAAACAACTTACCAAAAAAACCCACTAAGAACAATCCAAACACAGACACAATACTGAGATTTTGTCTCTGCAACACGAAGGCCAAATTTTTCGCTGGGGTAAATTTACAATGCCAGCAGAAATTCACATTCAAAATGTGTAGTGTAGGAGTAAAGGGCTAAAACAAAACCCACAAGCCACTTTAAGCTGGTCATAGTTCAGTGTTCCACATCAGCAACACAGCTGGGAACGTATTTTTCATTACCTCGGAAGCCCTGTGTACTTTAGTTCAACTTGTGTGTGATAATTCTACTAAAAGGGGTAAGAATTAAAAAAATATCTTTCCCATTAAACCTTCTTAGGCCTTCCTCATTAAAGCTTAAAAATATGTGGAAGAGAATATAACTGATGCTGTTAACAGATCCATTTGCCATCACATTAAAATATAAGTTCAGAAGGTTCATACCCCATGTTCTCGTAGTAACATCAAATCTTACACAACATGGCTAAGCCCCTGCTTTCATCAGAAAAGGTCAAGTTTAAGCAGTAGCTCAGAAATCCAGGGCAGCCCAACAATTCTTTGCTGACACCAACTAGTGGGTCATTATAGAATAAAGAGACAATCCTTTATCTTTTCACAGTGATCATAGCAGAAGTGGTAATATAATTATGAAACAGGAAAAGGCCTGAGAACTATACAATTCCAATTCCACTCATATTATACTCCCATAGAGTCACAGAATGGTTTGGGTTGGAAAAGACCTTAAAGATCATCCTGTTCCAATCCCCCTGCCACTGGACCAGGTTGCTCAGAGCTGCAGCCAGTCTGGACCAGTTGTTCTCATCTTCCTTCTCTACCACATGGCTCTCCAGTGTTGCCTCTGTGACCTTGAGACTTAAAAAAATTAAAAATAAATTTATATATAAAATAATACTGACTCAGACAATTATTAATCCTCCTTGTGTTTGTATAGCTTCAGGGAGACTCACGGAGTTGATTACTGGTTACTGCTCCATTTATCCCGGTGTTCCTTGCACAATCCAGTTGCCCAACACCAGACTTCTCTTTTTTTCTTGCCAAGCTGGCTGTGGCTGCATGCCATGTGCTCCAAGTGTTCCCAGGACAGCCTGGGCTCCTGCTGAGAGTGCCTGTCCTGCACCCTGCCTCCTGCCCTGGCTGGATGGAGGCACAGGCTGAGCCAGCTCCCAGTGTGCTGCACTTGCTGGAGGCCACAGCACAGGAATTTCTGGCTGCTCTGGTGCAAAATAACCATGAGGGGCCAAAAGAGTGTCATGGATTTAGGCTGAGATTCAAGGGCACTGTGCTGCTGCCCCCTCTCCTTTATCAGGCTCTGACAGCCCACTAGTAATGGCATCAGATGGGATGGTTTATTGTCTGAAATTGGAGAGATTCTGGGACTAATTGTGCAGCCAGAGGGTGTGCAGTGCTGTTCCAGATGCCCTGGAGTGTCCCTCCCCATCCCCAGCCCAGCCTCAGCAAGGCTCTTGCAGGTGGATGTCACATCCCCAGCTCCTTGCAGGTGTCCTGGATGCCTTAAAGTATTTCTAAGACAGACCATGAATCCTGTGTTTAGGCACCTGCCTCTCTTACTGTCTGTCAAAAGCAACTCCAGCTGATGGAATATATTTCATTAAAACTGCTTTTAATGGAAAATTGTGTTTCCAAGTGAGCTCTTGGTTCCTTCACTTTTGCATTTGCATCTTGTGCTTTCTGAGGGAAAGGTCAAATTTGTGAGGAAGCTGAATGCTGCAAAATGGAAATATTTGTTGCAAACGAGAACTTGTGATATTTGAATTGTCACTGTAAATTTGCAGATTTCTGTTGGCTAAGAGGAATAGACATTTTTCAAACTGCTCTGTAATGTGTCCTTCCCAGCACTGTCAATGCCAGCAGTGATTGCTGTCTGACAGAAGTGCCTGAGACTGCTGCAACACAAACATTCCTCAACACTGACCCAGATAACCTGGGCTATTGAGCAAATTACACAGGATAACATCATTATCTCCTTATTCTGAGGCCTAAAAGTTGGATGTCTATGAAGTTTGGCACCTTTTCCATCTGCAACAGGAGAAGGAAAGAAACAGGCCTCTCCAGAACAAAATTTTTAAATTTAAAATAGATGCATTAAATGAGCACAATGATTACACTCTGTGTGTGCTGTTTCTTTCTACCACCTGCAGAGGAATCTGTTGCACTCTCTGGACAGCAAATCTGCAGGAGTAGAAACTGTTCATAGATTCACAGGATATCCTGAGTTGGAAGGGATCCACAATGATCAAGTCCAACTCCTGGGCTTGCACAGCAGCACCCCAAGATGTGGCCTGAGAAATTCACACTCTGCCTTCATACACTGAAGGGCAAAACAGGGTGGGCTATTGCCCTATCTCACAATAATTTAAAATGTTGGTATTTTTTTGTAGGCCTAGGTAGAAAGTCTGTATATAGTGCCAATTGAAATAAATTCTGTCAACAGTATTGCCCAATGCAGTTGTCACTGTGACTGCCTGCTAATGACTACACTGAAAGCCTTGGGATCCTGGGCAGAAGCTTTCAAGTGCAGTTCCTAGAAACTTCTCCTTCCTTGTGGATCTGAGATGGGAATAAAGGAGGAGAGGAAAACAAAGGGAATAAAGGAGGAGAGGAAAAAGAAGGGAGGGAGGAAGGCAGGAAGGAAGAGAATCTGCAAGAGATTAATGGGAAGAGAAACTGTGAACCTCCAAACTTATTTAAGTTAATTTTCATTCTAACTTCAATGACACATATTTAAAATACTTTCAACCAAGCCCAGAAAAAGAATTAACTTCTTGTGCAAGTCTGCTTTTGTTCTAGACTGCAGTTTTTCTGTTTGCATTTCTTATGCCATTTTCCTCATCCACTCAGCCATCTATTTTTAGCTTGATTTGACATGAATTTCCTCCCTGCCCTTTTTTATACAAACTTACTCAACTGCACTGACCTTATTTTGACTCTTAGCAAGTGACACACTTATGACAGATGCACACACTCACCGGACTAGAATCCATTAATGTACATTCCCTGTGTACCTTCAGGCTCCACACTGGCCTTGCTTCTGACCAGAAGCCACCTCCAAAAAAAATTACCACTGAAAAAATACACTGTCCCAGCTATTTAGTCTGTCCCCTGAACTTAGATGTTGCCTGGTGCATATATAAAAATGTGGTAGGAAGTCTTTAATTTCTAAATTCCACATTTGGATGCATTCTAACACGATGATGATTACCTTGCATTTTCAGCATCTTGTTTATATGTCACAGTCCTTCAATGCTCCAGCTGTTTGTGGCTCTTTGGCAATGAGGTTATCTTGGCAAATTTCTGCCTGGGCTGGACTCCATATCTCAAAAACCATGGCTGTGGCTGGCAGTGTTTACTCCCTAGGTGACAATTTCAGCAAGTGCTGAATGAGTGTGGAAACCAGATCAGGGCTGAGCCACGCTGGCAGAGTGACACGGCTGCATTCGTCCACGCAGCACCTTTCAGCACGTAAATAAAGGACTTTAGCCCCTGGAGCTGACAACCCAGCATCTTTTGCAAGTGGCTAAATAAATAAACAAAAATGCCTTTGATAGCTGCCCTAAAATTGCATATCCCGTTGCTGACCTGAGATAAGCACAAGCCCTTTTCATACGTGAGAATGCATGTGAACCAATGGCTTCATACTGCTGCTGTCTCTTTTCCCTTTCCTCTCCAAAATGCCAACACTATTGGAAAATCAATTTTATAGAACTTGTGCACTGCTCGCTGCGCTGCTGCCAAGACCCAGAGTAGTTCACAGCATGCTGCTCTTTGTGCCTAACAAGCTCCTGTGCTGCAGGACTTGTCTGCCCTGCTGCTCTCTGCCTGTGTGCTAACCTGGGTGGCTGCTGCACCTCCTGCTGCAGATAAAAAACCACAAAACAGCATGGTCAGCTAGTGAGATTAAAGGCATTTCTGGAAAACATGCTCAGTTCTATTATTCTTTATTTATGAAGGCCCTCCAGAAGGCTTCTGTATGGATGGAGAACTTCCAAAAAGGCTTTGGAAGAGATTTATATTCCTGAAGAGTATTTGGAACTTACAGCATGATTTTGTTTTTTTTTTTTTTTTTACAATCCTAGCTAAAGGCCCCAGATAAGAGCACTACTTGATATAGTTGTCTGCAAAGTGGAATGAGGGAGGGACAGGAATTCCTTGTTGCAAAACTGCTGCTGGTCACTGGCCATGCTTCAGCACAGCTCACAAACAGCCTTCTGCAGAAGGGCTGTCATAGATATTTAGGATCTGCAGACTGTGCTTGAAGAGCTCTATGGACATTGATTCATGCACCTGACAGGATGCAAACCTGGCCTAATCCCTGGGAACAAGGCTCCCACACAGATGGTTTTCTTACAAAAAGTGCACTGTGATTGCCCCACTACTGGACAGCAAAGGCCTTGGGAAAGAAAAAAAACTTTGACCTGATGTTGTCCTTTATTTATATAAATTCTGGAAGCCCTACCAGGAATCAGCTCAGACTTCTACAGAAAGTAGAAGTCTACAGATAGGCTTTTCCCAAGTTACACATGATACAGGTTCAGAAACACCTTATGTTTTATCATGGATCACCACACAAAGACTTGGGTTAAGTTTTTTTCTACCTCCTCTCTTATTTTCTTTTTCACTTTCTCACCTACTCATCCATATATCCATGAATCTATTGTCTTACTATTCCTGTATCCTGCTGTGGACACATCTCCAGTCAAATCAACTGGCTTTGGTTCACTCAATGAGTGTCTCAGGCAGGTCTGAAGGCCTTTACAAAGTACAGCTTTTAAAATGCCACTGTTAGGGACAGGAGAGAAATCCCTTTTTTTATAGGTATGTGGCTGCAATTCCACTTTTTCTATAGGTATGTGGCTGCTTTAGGCTCCTCTGCTTCGTATGAACTTCCCTGAGTTTTTCACAGTCAGGTTTATTATATCCAGAGCAATACCAATGTCCCAAAACTAAATTCAGAACATTCTGTATTATCTTGTTCTGCAGCCAGTGCAATCAAACAACTCTGTGCTGCCTTCCAAGAGATGATTCTCCCATGATGTTTCATAGCAATTCCAGTCAATTCAGAGCAAGTGCTATTTCTCTTCAGGTCATATCTCTGCCTCCTTTCTCTGTAAAAATATTTGGCAATGCAATTATTTTGGCAATTTCTAATTTAGATACATTTTGTATGATTTTCCCTCATGCTTTTCCCATTTTCATGCAATAGGATATTGTGCCCTCTGAGATAATCAGATGGGTGTAGGGACTGAGACTTCAGCTGCTGTGAGTTGGCAATGCCATAAAGTCCTTGGAGTTGCAGTGGTTTACACCAGCACTGGTTATTTATTTTCTCACATATTAGTTTTAATATGCCTCTATTAATATGGGTAATATTTGTCATAGGGTCACTTTTTTTGGTAGGAAGATCTTGTGATTTTATTGCACCAAACACAGCAGCAGACCTGACTGCAACTAATCCAAATTTATTGACATACAAGTCATTACCTGGCTATATTTACAAGTGTCTGGAGAAGGAAAGATCCAGCAATCACTGGCAGTCTCCATCTACTTATGCCATACATTCCTCCCTCCAGCACACACTTCATGCTTCCAAAGTTTCTAATTTCAGGCTTTCTGGTGGTCCTGGTCTTTAAGGCACAAATAAATAAGGCACTTTGTTTGCTTCAGGCATATGGCTGGCCAAAGGCATTTATCTAAAATTAAAGAAAGATATTTTATTTGATTTAAAAAAACTTTTGTCTTTCTTGATCCAGAATTTGGCATTCAAGTACAGCAAAATAACCATCTAAACCACAAACAGGGCAGGCAGCTCAGCAGAATTACTGAGAATAAAAAGACTTTGTTTCTGTGCGACAAAAGCCAAAGTTGAATGATTTGAAAATTCATTTATTGCTCATCTAAACCACAATGGGTTTCTGCTGCTGCAAATGTCTCCCTTTTCTATTCTTAATATCTCTGTTATAGACCCATATCCTCCTCTCTGAGTTTGCATGTTTGGTGACACTGCTGATCACAACATACCAACATAAAGAAACCACAGTTATCACTAAAGATACCACTACAGTGATCAGCTACAAATTTCATCCTACCCAGTCATTATTCTGAGAACTATAGGGGGATAGGCACTGAATTTCTGCAGACCTTGTAATATGGAAAGCTCTGTCAAAGTCTTTGCAGTGAAATACCAAGCTTGGGGGAATGCAATATGCTAATCTTTTTAATAAATAGTATTCAGTATCAGTGTGAGAAAGGGAAGAGTTCATTAGTACAATAATATGAATATATGATATGTAAATGAATGTAATATTCACATATTCCATCTCGCATACATAAATGGTGTTTTTTCTTGTGATGCCTTTACCATCCCTAAGACAGGCTAAAGCAAATTGTTTTCTGCTTCATGTACATTTTCCCCAAAAGGCCCAAACTGGAGGTGAAACCGTGGCTTCTGGAATACGGAGATGTGCAATTTTGTTCTCCATCAACAGAGCCAAACGCATGGGAGAGTCCTTGTGGGACCAGACGTTCGGGAGGGCCGGAGCTGGGCTGGCAGCTTCAACTGGGGACAAGGGTTTCATTCCCACCATGTGTGTGCCTGAAGGTGGAACAGGCTGTGGCACTGCCCCCAGCCCAGCTGGGAGCGTGGCCATGGGGCAAACAGCCCAACACATCCAGCTTTTCTTTTAAATGGTTCATATAATGTTAAGGGTTGGAAGGAACCTTAAGGATCATCCAGTCCCGATACCCCCTCTGCCACTGGCAGGGACACCTCACACTGACCAAGGCCTTATCCAACCTGGCCTTGAACACTGCTGGGCTTGGGGCATCCACAGCCCTCCGGGGAAACTGTTCCAGGCTCACATCACCCTCACAGTAAAGAATTTCTTCCTACCATCTAACCCAAATTTCCTGTCTTTCAGTTTGCACCCATTACTCCCGCACACAGCACTCAAAGTGAAGCCCTCCTGTTATAAACACCGTGCACTGCTCCAGGCCCGCTGCAGAGCCACAGCCGCACACGGAGCGCTGTCCGAGC